ATGATGATGATGATGATGATGATGATGATGATGATGATGATGATGATTAAGTTGCAGGCCTTGTTCAAGAATAGTAATTAGTGATTATATAATTAGTGATGTTTTTGTTTACTGACCGTCACAGGTAATAGGACAAACCAACAATATAGGATCTCAATAGGTTAACCAACAGATTGACCCCATCAAACCATGTCCAATGTCGGTGTATCTGGTTGGTGAAAGGATGCTCCCAACCGGCCAAAGCGCCTCATGCAAGGGAACTCCGGCAGGACTGCCATCACCACGGCCCTGTGAGGGTAAGTCACCGCTGAAAACAGCTTCAGGCTTCGGGGGAAAGCCATCATGTTGCCTTAAACAAAGCTTTTCCCTGGGAGTCAACGACTATCAAAAGAATGGTCTTTAGGTGACCCGAAAAGGAATTTCCTTTACTTCAGTCCGTCAAAATAGAGTCGAACTGGACTTCTAGGGTTTTTGTACCCTAAGAATCCGGGCCCTCAAACAAACAATAGGATTTTGTATAGAGTATAGGGTTTGTGAGGGCCTGGACCCCGTTTCGGTGGAGAAGGTCCGACCCCTCCCATGGAGGTCCCAGCAAATTCTTAGGGTATAGATCCAATTCCCATAGACATCCATGGGACTGCCATATATGCCTATACATTGACACCCCAACTGACCGGCATGTACGGCAGTCCCATGGAGTCTATGGGAATTGGCCAGGCCCAAACAGTCTCGAAGCTGTTGCGCCACCCTCGGCCCAACAGACATGGACCTGATCGGCTGGACCTTCGGGCCAACGAACCGGACAGCTGGGCCAAACCGGTTCGTTCGGGCCAAAACGGAACGGAAGCGATGAGACCCTACACCTCCAGGAGGTGGGCCCCGGTCGTCCCACCGTACCGAAGCGGTTCGGTACGACTGGAGGCCAAACGGGAGAACCCGAAGTCACAGAGCTTGGAGTGGTTTGGTTCGTCCCATCCAGTGGGTTGTCATCATGGATAATAGGCACCCCGCTGAAAGACGACGACTGGTGCCTGATCGATTGGATGAATTTGAGACGAGCTCTCCCTCAAAACCCTGTGTTTGAAGTTTCAGATTCCTAGGATACATGGGATTTGGACATAGTTCTTGGGCCTCTACACTCCATTGTTGTGTCATGGATAGATTAGATGGGAAGGCGTTTTCATTCATTTGGCCAACACTTTCTACCAGGACCCTCCTGTCGGGGTGCCCTGTCTGGAAGTCCGGACACCCCGACAGCAGGGTGGTACTGGTCACCGTTGTTTGGGGTTTGTCATTCGAATGCCATCGGTTCCAGGGTTCCACCAGATCGGGCCATTCATTCGAATCCATACCCAGACACGACCAGTCTGGGACTGCCATGACGGACTGCCGAGAGTTCCGGCCGATCGGGGTGGTGCCAGGGGGGGTCAATGGGGCGGCAGTCCTATGGCAGTCCCATGGAGTGTCTAAGATCCATATATGGTTGTGGCACCTTCTCACATGATCGGTCTTAGTGCCTTAGATCTCGTTGGGCTTGCAACTTGCAAGGACTTTGGCGTCCGTCCGTGACACACTCGGAGTACTGGGATCAGGCGTCCAAGCACATCCAGGCACGTCCAGGCAACCCCCGGCCCAGCCCGCCTCGCAAAGAGCCACGTAGGTTTGCAGCCTGAGTCAAGTCTGGTGAATATGGTGGTGGAGCCAACATGCACGTCTTGACCAGTAGGATAACGGATCCGCCACGCTTCTTGACCAATATAGTCACTGGAGTGAGGTCCTAAACCCATAGACTCCATGTATGCCATATATGCCTACATTGACCCCCCCAAACCACCCCAACGTAGGCACAAACGGCATACATGGAGTGTATGGGAAAGGTATCCCAGCGAATCCGCTTGGCTGAATGGATGATCCATGATGATCATGTCATGTCGTGCGCATGGGTTGCAAGTTTGCGACCCCTACTCGACGTCGTGTGCTCATCCTGATGGGACGTCGAAGCGAGAGCAATCCGAGGTCCTGCAGCCTCAAACCAATCCTCACACCTTTTTTCTTCCGCACAAAACAGGAAAAGTAACACAAAATCCCCAGAAGGGGATCACCTACAGGCAACAACAATTAAACATCGCCCTTAAGCAAAACCAGGACATGATGTGGCCCAGCGGTTGGACGTCGGGAACGTCTGTGTTCACATTCACCTGCATGGACCCCTTGCCTTCGACCAGCCCGAACATCCTAGTATCCCTACAGGTCCAAAACCTAGCAACACCAGGTCGTATACCTCATTGAGTACTGATTTTGTATGATCAGGTCGATCAGGTCCAGCAAAACGAGGTCTAGAGTCTCCTTCTTTCGCCTCATATCACGCTAGCACCCCGCCCCGGTCTCGATCTACCTCACACGTGATGATAGCGCGTCGCTCCGGTCTCCTTCTACGCGACTTCCATGGGCGTCACCTCCAACCGCCAACTCACGCCGCTGAGGCGGAGACCCCACACACTCCACGGGCGAGGCAGAGACCTCTGTGGGCTCCATCAACCTGTCACGGCGCACGGCCGCGGAGCCGCTGCGCCATGCTGTATTCGACTGGTCGACTAGCGGAGCTGATAGCTAAATGTCATGCCGCTTCCAATCCATTTGGGGGTGCTAATCCGGAAAATCAACAAACACCTTATACCACTTGGATATACTTGGTTCTTTCGACATCTTTCGACTGGTACCTGCTATTTGGTCTTCTTGGCCAGTCTCCCGGTCGCACGCCGAACCCTCGGTCGCTGGGGGACCTCGGATCGCTCCTCCGGAGCTCCACTCCGCTCCGCCGCCAGGCTGAGTGGTCCCAAGCTGTGTCCCTCTGAGCTCAGTTTCGGGCCGAGTTCTGTTCAGAGCTTGTACCAGGACCCACTGGAGTTGGGTGGTTCATGGACACCCCGAATCACCGAAATTTTCGGGGCTATCAATAGAAGCCCCAAACAGGGTGTCCTGGTACATAGCTCGTACCAACTTGAGGCAGCTTAGACTCGCAACGTGCTTTTAGATATGTGTTTAGTTTCTATAGAGTTCTATTGAGGTATTGGCCACTGCTTCACACAACCGCACTTGGTATTTGAGGCAAGCTTAGGTCTTATACGAATGGCCAAAGTGTTGGGGACTATCAATCGGCCTCCGAAGTCAAACAACCTCTTTCTATCTCTTTCCACTCTGTTAATGTCCAATCTTTGGAGGCCTGGAGAAGCCAATCCCTATCCCTTTGAAAAGGACTCAACTATAGGAGTCCTCTGTGCATCCCTATCCCTCAAGTACTATCCCTATCCACTCTGCCAATCCCTATCCCTCAACTTAAAGGATTTGGGCATTTGTTCTAGGCATGTCATCCCACGAAAAAGGATCCGCTCTGCTCGAGCGCAGCGGCGCAGCCACCAGCGCCTCTTCAAGACGGCTTGGGCCACGCGATCGACCGACTCTTGGCCCCAGATGCTGCGCCACCTGCGCAGGGAGGGCGGAAGGATGGATGATCGGGCGGTTGTAAGACCAGGACTATATGCCGATCAATTGACGCCCCCCAAAACCCACAAAACCACTCTAATGCATAGGTAAGTATAAAATCCCTACCATATTCAGAGGGGGGGACCTCTGGAAAATGTAAGTTACATTTTCTGAGCATGCCACCTTGAAAATGTAATAATACGTTTTCCTCAACCCCCCTAGCTTACATTTTTCAAACATGTAAGCTTACATTTTTGAGGTCCCCCCCCAAAAGTGCAGGGGGGCGTTCCTAAATGTAAGTTACATTTTCCCCCCCCCCCCAACAAAATCGAAAACGGATCAGTGTGGCATGGACATGCATGGACTCTGTATTTCATTGTATTCCCATGTATTCCCCAGGAATAACCGAGGAATGATTCATTCAAATTAGGGGGGGGGGTCACATCCATATGCTGTCTTGTGTACCTACAGTCTTAAATCTTACTTTTAATCTACCCCCCCCCTCCCCCCAAACAAATGTAAGTTACATTTTTGGAGGTCCCCCTCCAAAATCGATGGTTAAAGGGGTAGGGATAGTATAAATATAATATGGTATAGTCCCATGGAGTGTCTGGGAATTGCGCAGCTCTAGGGATGCAGAAATCCAAATTTACAACGAAGCGAAGGTTCGAGTGAGGAATTAGAGGCCTTTAGGTGGTGAAGGACGCCTGACCACACGACTTTTCGAGGGCGGTGTCGCTCCTGGAGCTCGGGCAGAAGGGAATCCGGTGATCGCCGAGGTTGCATCGCCTGTTGTTCTCCGTTTATGTCGTGTGCACTGGGCGCCCCTGACGCACGCATCAACCGGGAGCGCAGGGTCTGCCAAAGGCCTTCACTGTGAAAGAGCCTCGCGGGGTCCACGAGAAGAGTCAACGAGGACGGTCCAGTTTTGTCCGGAATCGAACATGCTGGAGCGCCCCCACCATTCTCAAACATCTATCCCTAGGCCTCCAGTTGTACCGAACCTGAGAAGGTATGGCTGGACCCTCCTGGCACCCGGGCTCCACCTTCTCAGGTTCGGTACGACTGGAGGCCTAGGGTATGGAATATTTGCCGACATTGGAAAATTACAGTAACTACCAGAGGGGCCACATGTTGAGACGAAGGAGGTCAAACCCTAGGGATCCAGTCGTACCTTCTCAGAAGGTGCTTGGACCCTCAAAACCTACATAAGAGTGTCTCCAATCACCCTGTGAGAAGGTACTTCGATCCCTATAGGGAAACGGAGACCGAGTTCTGAGTTCAGAGAAGCCATGAGAAATCATGGCCTCCAGTGCGCGGGAAGCCTGTGGAAACATGGCACCACGCACCACACATGGCACCCAGACATGACCCGGACCATCATAGACCATCCATGTTTTGCAACAAATGCCGATCAAATGACCCCTCAAAGCACCCCCCAATGGAGGTAAACATGCCATATGTGGATGGTCTGAGAACCCTAGAATCTGCCCTAAGTCCACTTCGACTACTGTTCCTTCGTGAAGTAAAGGCAACTCCGAAAAACCAGGTACCCGAACTCGTGAGATCATGTTGTTTATAGTCTTTGACTCCAGGGCACTTACAGCAGGAGAGTGTCGACACGTATAGATCCAAACGGGTCCAGACATGTCTTTGAACAGCAACTCCCTGTTGCAGGGGACATCAACACTGGTTCTCGGACCGACATCGACACTCACTGCTCGGCTTCCCGGCCTTTGTGCCTGGTGGGGCTTGAAGTTCTGGCATCCTGGACGGATCATGCAGAACTTATATACCTGGTTGAGCTGCTTGGACCAACAGCTATCCCACAGGCATGGACTCCCCCCCATCACCCGGGCATCTATACCCCAAACACTCCATGGGACTGCCATGTATGCCATAAATGCCTACATTGAGCCCCAAAACCACCCCAACTGATCGGCAGTCCTATGGCAGTCCCATCAGTCGTGTCTGGGAACCAGGAGAGTCAGGAGGTCGCTTGGAATGCCAAAGGAACGGAGGAACGAAGTCGGGGTACCCAAGAAGCGCCACCATCCTCAAGAGGATGAGTTCGCTGCTATAGAACTGATGGGCTCCACTCAAAGCCACTCCGACATGGCCCCCAACAGGTGACTATGATGTGGATCCATGAGGGCTGTCCATCCATCCACGATCCAAAAGGAAGCAAAGGACTCACCACGTACCTTGGACCTTCTCAAACAAAAAATCCGATGTGCACATCGGACGAGCTTCGTAGAGATCGAGGCTACCCGATGTGGTTTTCTTCTCGAACAACTTGAAATAGACCTGGACCATCCTGTCTGGGTGTCCTGTCTGGATGCGCTCTGGGCGCCTTGTCCGCCCTTTCCTCGATTTGAGGTCGCACATCTGCCGTTGAGAGCGGGGTTGTGTCCCTTCAAGGCGAACACTTCCGGCCAGTAGTCAGAGAGCACCCCTACGGTGATGTTCAAAGACCCTACACCTCCAGGAGGTTACCTCCTCAGGTTCGGTAGCTCCTGAACCCTCCTGGAACCCGGGCCCCGGTCGTCCCACCGTACCGAAGCGGTTCGGTACGACTGGAGGCCAAACGGTCCAAAGACGGGCAGAACCCCGGCTCCGGAGACAGAAAACCGTCGCTCTGGAGCCACATCTGTCCGTCTCGTAGATCCGAACCAATCATGGCCCTCTTGGTTCCCTGCCTTTCACCTCCGTTCGACCATCCGAAAAGGAGGTACCTGGACCCTATGCGCTGTAGATCCGTTAACGAATCGAACCTCAGGGACCCGACGTGGGACCCGACGTTTGGGCACCGTCTCATGTTTCAGTGGAGACAACACATCACCAGCCAGCCGGAGAAGGCGGGAGAAGGTACTCTAGGCCTTCTGAAAGCAGAAGGTGTTTGAGGTGGGTGCCAGGAGGGTTCAGTCATACCGAACCTGAGGAGGTAACCTCCTGGAGGTGTAGGGTTACGAAAACGGATCCACTGGCACTGGTTGGACCTGCCCCCAGGCGGTCGTAACCCACCGGCCGTCCGCCTTCGGTGGCCACCAACCAATCCACCAAACGCACCTCAGATCGGAGGCGGCAGGACAAGGGTGGGGAAGTGGAAGGTCGCTAGACGAGGTGCTAGACGAGGCGAATGCCTTTGGAAATTCACCACTTGACTTCTGTACATCAGATAAGCAGCGTGTTATACTATAGATAGTACAATTGTGATAGATGTTTTTTAGTTTTGTGTTTCTATAGATGGGCCGTTCAATGCCGTTTTTTAGTCCGTCTAATATGTTTACATTTTAATGATTCACTGTTGATGGAATGCTTGAACACCTCCAAGAATTCCCCGCATCTCCCAGGTTGGAGAGCTGGTCAGTGACGGTCAGAGCTAGTCGGTGGATCTGCAACTTGGATGGCTTGGGCCTGAGACAAACCATTTTCTTTAAATATATATTATATATGACATCAAATTACAATTCAATTAAACCAATGATCATCTCCATCAACTTCTGTTTCAAAGATGTTTGGGGTTGGAGCGCCAGGAGAACCAACAGGAGGCCCACATCCAGGTCGCAGCCCTTTGAGCAGAGTGTACCTGAAAGGCTTGAGCACAGTGATCTCGGTTGGGCTCAACCCTCCCTCACATCGAGAAGAATGTTGAAGGAATATGAAGGAATGGTTTTTCTTTATTAACAGATCTCTAAAGGACCTCTATCCCTAACACTCCATCTGTGTGGAATACAAATTATATATACTTTGACCCGGGGTCAACCACCCAGGTAAAATTGCCATACACCTGGACCCTCCAACAGGTGCTTCCTGGTGACAACAGGTGCCCAGGTTCACCACCTGTTAGGCTTCTAAAACCACCGGACTTGGAGGGTCCTGGCATGGAGTGTCTGGGTATTACTTTAAGAATCCGGACCCTCAAAGCCTCAAAGCCTCACATGTTTTCGTTTGCGTCCAGGACCCGTAAACCGCGCAATCTCCACACTCTGCCGTCCTGGAGCTCCCAGAAAACATTTCGAACCCCCCAAACAGCCCCGGTGTACGGGGTCCTCCTCTGGGAAATCCAGGATCAACGTTTCATGTATACCTTCTCCCTGTCATTGCACGACATCAAACCATGGGTCTACCGACCTTCTACCTCCCAACCGCAGCAGTTCCGACGCCCAACCACCGCCCAACCACCGCCCCGCCGCAGCCCCCGCCACCGCGCCAACCAGCCCCCGAGTCCGCGTCCGCGTGCAGCCGCAAGACGGCCAACTGAAGCTCTTCGTATTCCAAGGCATACCTGCGAGCTCGGGGGATCTGGAACGGAATATGTACGAAGAAAGGGTACGGTGGTCCAAAGGCACCTAAAGACTCGACTGGTTCGAGGAAAGGACCCTTGGAACCACAAAGATCACAAAGGTAAGATGTGGGATGATTTTGGTCTATATGTCATTCCAGTCCTTTTTTTGGAGGGGGAAGGTTGGAAATACGTCCCTTTTTTCTAACAAGTTGAAACTTATGAGCTGGCAAAAACTCTGACATGTGGTCTTCAGAACATGTCAGAAAACCTAAATGATTGACGCCGTGTTCCCAATTGACTCAGGGATGAATGTGTTTCAGCACCATAACAACAACCACAACAATTTCTGGGATGCCCAACATGAATCCATGACCAGATGGTTCAAAGTGCCTCGATGTATCCTTTTGATATTCAGTAGTCTTTTGAGGCCATCGTATATCAAAAGGACATTCGAGGTCACTTAGGGTTCAGGCTGTGTATATCAAAAGGTCACTTGGTTCCATCAAAACCATTTCCAGATGTCAAACCACAAAAGGTAAAGCCAGAACTACCCAATGTCCATAGCCCTGCTTCACCTCTCCCCACCCAATCCTTCCCACCACCTCGCTGCTGCTCCCTTTGCCGCGCTGGAGCCGGTGGTTGGAGTGGAGCTGCACAGGCTGGGTATGGGATCCGAGCTGGAGGAGCAGGTTTCTTGAAGTTTCTTTGGACTTTGGACACCCTAGTGTCAGCTCTCGGTTCCCTATAGCACTATAGCCTGCGTGCCCACCTGACACATACAAAGCTCGCATAGCGGCTAAGGACCTGTCGGCCCAACTGGAAAGGATGGCTCATGACAGCCATAGATTTCACCTTACCCACCTTAGCTCGCATTGCGGTGCCAGACTTGCAGTCCAATGACTCATGACAGCCATAGATTTCACCTTTTCCACCTTAAAGTAACTGGGTAGCACAGAGCGTAACGCATGCTTGGGGTACTCGACAAGAAACCAGGTCCTCGTCTGAGTAGCACGAGATCCAGAGCGGCCCAAGCCACTGGGCTTGGTCAAGTGCTATGTGCTCAAGCCTTATGTCATCTCTCGGGATGTCTCACGAGAATCAAAACTTGATGATTTGCACTTGCAACATCAAGGGCCCGGCTTATGTAGTTTCGGGCGTAGCTTCCATAGGAAGCGGCCAGCCTGGATCGCTTCAGCTGCCAGGCCTCAGATCAACCATGACAACCTGGCTTCAAGCAATACTACACACAACAAATGCACTCTGGTTATTTTGTACAAGGAGCTGTTGTGTGCACTCCGAAACAAATACACCGATGATTCCAACAGCTCCAAATTTGGTTTTGGCAAAATAGCCTTTCCGGCAGCAACTGCCTTTCTCATCGCAACAAGATTGACGAATATAGCAGCGCGCAACCTTAAAGTGCAATCAGCGAGTCCTCAGCCATGCACATGCGAGGCTCTAGGTGCAACTCAACCAAGGAACTGTGCATGAAGGTTGGTGGGATCGGAGGATGCAATAGCCACAGTGATTCCCATTAACCACCTCCCCAATATCATTGCCTCCTGGGATCAGCTATCAATCCTATGCACACACTTGCTGCACCCAACACTGTTTACACACAAAATCTTTGGCTTTGGATCCATGCCATTGAAGTGCTTCTGGGCAGTGGATGGATATTTGCCATCAGGAGCCAAATGTTTCCTGAAGTATGTACACCGGCCACCAATGAAAGAAACAGGCACACTTTCAAGCGCATGGTCAGCTGAGGGGCATGCTCCAGAACTGCCCCTTGTTGCGGATTTTGTGCACTTTGCACAAGGCCCTGAAATCAACATAAGCGGCTCTTAGCCGATCATCCGGGGTGCTACCTGCCATCGAATCAACACATACAATTACAATCATTCGGATCAATGCCAAGCGGACCTGGCCAGACCCCAGGAGATTCACACAATTCAATAAGGGCCTTGATTGGTCGAAATCACAGGGGGGCTCACAAAAACTAGTTCCTCAGCCAAAACAATCCAGTGCAAGCGGGGCACTGATGCTCCACTCTCAGGTGTCAGACACAGATCGACAACATGCAGCCAATCATAGTAAATCATGCTTGGATCGAACCCTGGGATTCTTACCCAGGGGGGTGGAGTCACAAAGGTCCACAGTAAAGGTTCGAAGATCAACTGCAGTATCCCGGTGTGGCGCATTTCTGCCAAACATCGTGTAAATATAGCGTGAATTGGACAGCCGCGAGGCATGACAAGAAATGCAAATGTTTGTGCTTGTCCAATTCCGCTTGCAATGAAAACTCTTCAGCAGAGCTTTCTCATCTCCCCTGAATGCTATCAGGATTCCCCTGTAGCCATCCGCTATCAGTTCCTCTCCTTTTCGATGAGCCATCGGCTCATTCCAAGGAGAATGAGCAAAAAAATCTTCCAGTCGCTAGCTCTGTGAAGGACCAACACAACCAACTGTCCAAAGTGTTGAAGGTTGCGTTGCAAGCTCTTGAATTGTCTGTGCAGTACAAAACAATTCGTGACTCCCAAGGACATCCTCCTGCTCGAAGAATGGAACCGAATGAAACTACCATGAAAGAGCGTCGACGGTGCGCTTCTCCATCATCTGAGTGCACACAGAGCGGAATGCACTTTGTCAGATCTGTCGCCTTAGCTCGCACGCGCTGACCTTTAAATGTTCCTCGCGCACTCTTAAACCAAAACACTGGATCACTCAATATCGGGTGTTCTCGGAAGAATGGTGCTGAGCTCATGTGCTGCCAGAACATCTCCAATTCCTGGAGCAGCTACCACATATTCATATTACGTGGAAAAGGGACAGCAATGATCCAAGATTTATAGACAACAGCTAGGATCAAAGGCACGCCAGGCTCTCCAAGAAAGCGCTGGGCAAACAGCTTGTGGTCTTTGTCGTACTTGTAGATATGAGCAAACCTTGTGAGTTCTAGATTTGTTCAACCGCTTCCAGAAGTGAGTATGTTCAGCCGCTTCCAGAAATGGGTACCACTCATTTGCAGCTTAATTACACCTCACTGGGTAGAAAAAGGTGCCATGGTTCAATGGTGTACTCCTCCTTCAAAGACTTGTCCTCGAGGACAACGTTGACCCTAGGCAAATATATATTGAGCATACCAACAATTTTATAAACTTTAACGGTCTGATTCAGGCACATGAGTTGTAAAGAGTGAAGGCCAGGGCACTCGAAGGGTGGTGGAAGCATGGCCCTCCAGGGTTGCTTGCTCAACCATGCCCAAAAATTACGCGGTGCGTTTCGACCGCAAGCTGATTGTGAATGCAAGAGGTCCAGCATATTTCTCCTGAGGTAGACCCTAGCTGCACGAAAGATATATTTTGTGACACCTAGCGCATCAATCACCCAAAACCGGGGCCAAGGTGCGGGAGTAAGCGTCGTGGAAACCTGCGCTGAATAGCCCCCATCATTTTCATGAGGGTCGATACACTCACCTTGAAGAAAGGGTGGATCCAGCCAAGTTGCAACCATTGATGCAAGCTCTCTTGGACCATCCAAGTGGTGCCCAATGCGAGCCTATATTTGAGTATATGTGGGGTAGTCCATTGGACACCCCTTGGATGGTCCTCCATGTCAACAATTTCTTGCACGCAATCCATGCTATCCAAAAAATCTTTCCGGCCCAACTCTAAGAAGTCCTCGACTAGGCCCATGGGATCATTCTGGTCCATGGCAGGCATGAATCCGAGTGTGCCCCAACAGTACTTGGTTGCATTTCCCATAGTAGATTTGGCATGTGGCAAATATAGACACAAACTTTGGGTTTGAACATGTCTCAACCCTTCACCCAAACCACCCAAATATCTTGTTGCTCAATTCCCCTTGAGCAACCCCCTGCCAGGTGCACAAAGGTACTGTAACCCAGCTCGTGTACATGCATGTGAGCCCCACCAAGTAACACAGACTTGAAACAGTAACAGTAGCGATATATAGCGGACATTAAAATAACAGGGTTCCCTTTTTTTAAGCTAGCTGGTGGGGGATCAGAGTGCAAGCCAAAGAAACAAACATTCTCACCACACTGCCGCTCACGATCATTGGTTCAGATCGTGTTCCCCAAATCCCGACACAACACCCATTCTAAAGGTGTTCAGTCAGGGACCCCAATCTGAGCTTCATCGTACCCAGAACAAATTTGCACTGTACTGCAACGTGAACAGCACAGGCCTTAGGCCAGGTGTTCAGGAACACACTATGGTCTGGGCTGGCTGGTCAAAGAACCAATGTTTTATAAACAGTTTTAACAAACATGGGAGCGCACAGCACTAGAAGTTCGAAAGGGTCACAAATGTATAAGACTAGTCCTCTTCAGCGGACCCAGAACCATGTGAGGCATTCTCATCCGCCTCTGCCTTCTTTTTTTTTGGAAGGTCCTTTGGCAAGCTGAATCCGGCGGCGGGCATCTTTGACATCCGTCTCCATCGTGGCCAGGCGAGGCTTGAACTCATCGCAAAAGTCATAAAACGCATCAGCATTTACTGCTGATTCCGGGGTTTGCGCTTTCTCACTCACTTCAGCGAAGATGCTTTCCACATATAACATGTGGTTGTTCAGTACCGTCACCTAAAACACACTGGACAGCTCGATGTACGCGCATATGCATGTGCACATTTACTATTCCACAAGCGCTGGCAGGGCACAAGTTCATGGGAATTTCTCACCTTATAGGTCTCTATGTCCGATTTGGCTGCAGGCACAAAGTTGAGGATCTTCTTGAACCTTCACTAGAAACCCAGGGTTCACGAAATAGGGATGCTACCTTGAAAACCCGCAATAGCTTGACGTGAATTTGAACAAACAGTAAAACACAGTTAACAAAATTGTGTTTGGAAACTTGGCTTCCATTTTCTTCACTTCCTCAAGCGCTAGCTTCTCAGCACTTTTCTCTTTCTTCGGCTTCTTTGCTTTGATTGCCCCAGTCTTTAAATCTAACTGACCCTGGCTCTCCAGGGATGCCA